TTTGGTTTTTTTTTTTTTATTTTAAATTATTTATTTCCAGTGGGAACTGTCAGAAATCCAGAAGTTGCCATAATAAGTTTTAAGTCAACTGCTTGTTTAAAAATAGATAATCCAGCATTTCAGAAATTTTCCATTTGGGTCTAAAAGCATTCAGGTTTCCAACAGCTAGAAAGGACTCATGCAATTTTAGAAATGTAAAGGAACTGATAAAATCGGGAGAGGATTTCTACATTCAGACTTTAAAGCGGAAGGAAAAAAAAGTATCTAGAGCTTTAAATAATGCAGTGTTTTGAGGAGAATAAAGCCAAGTCAAAATTTTCAAATTTGAGCTTCTTCGAAAGTGAAGTATTCACTGGCTTATATTCCAAAAAAGGGGGAAATATGCTCCGCAGTTTATCGCTTTGCCGTTTTACCTCTAAAACTTCATTTTCATCATCAGAGTGCTAAATTAGTGAAATACTCATGCTGCCTTAAAGTGCAAAAAACAAGCTAACAGCCAAACTTTCAGTTCAAGGAAACAAGATTGCTTTTAGACTGTACCACAACTATATAGATTTATATATATATTATTTATATATATAAAAATTTCATTTCCAAAGTTCTTGCGAGCTATCTTCTAAGGTCCAGTCTCTGACAGCAGGTAAGCTCAGTGCTTCGCTTTTGACAGACAATGAGTTCACCAGCTCACAGTGAAACTTGCGAATGTGTCTGTACAGGTCTCCGGACTGCGTGAACCTCCGCTCGCACCACTTACAGGCGTGCGGCTTCTCCCGCGTGTGAACCACCGCGTGGCGGCTCAGGTTGTGGGAGTACTGGAAGCTCTTGCCACACTGGGTGCAAGTGTAGGGCTTCTCACCTGAGTGAGTCCTCTCGTGGCGCTTCAAGGTGTACATGCAAGAGAAAGTCTTACCACACAAGGAGCAGGTCGGGACATTGACATCAGTGGCAGGCTTGCTGCGGATCCCGTCCTGCTCTCGAAAGTGCGTGCTTAAGTGGATCTGCAGGATGTGGGGACTGGGAAAGACTTTGTTGCAGAGAGGACACATAAAAATCTGGCCAGCAGGGCTCAGTATGTTGGACACGTAAGGGAGCAGGCTGCTGTCCATGTTTCCTTCCACCTGGACTCGCTCATTCTCTGGAGTTATCATCTCATCATCACTTGCCTTGTCCTCTCTATCTAGCTCCCTCAAGACCGAATCTTCCCTCATCGGAGCCAGGTGGGCCGGCTCATACTGTACCCTGTTATTAGTGCTCACACTTTCTTTCACAGTGCTATGTTCCATATCATAGTCATTAGTGCCAACATCACTCTCATCACAGGAGGCCTCTTTCTCCACCTTCACCTGAACCAGGCTGCTTCTAAGCATGTCCTGCGAAGAGAAATAAGAACTGTTCAGATTTTCAACTCCTGAAAGGCTGGACTTGACAGACAGGTCCAGCACGCAGTCAACATCTGCTGAATCCCTCACGGAGGTGACAGACCTCTGGGACAAAGACTCTGTTGAGCTGCAGGGGCTGGCTACTGTTTTTCCAGCTGCTGCTGCGTGTGTCTCTGCCTCTCCGCCAGCCTGGGGGATGCCTGCTGAGTCCGAGGGCAATCTCATCCACATGTTCCCAGGCTCGGCCGCCAAGTCTCTTTTGCCGGGCAGGATGTTCAGCTTTTCGTCTTCCCCTTCGTCTTCGTCGCTGGGCAGGTCTCCCGGCATGTGGCTGCTGCCGTCGGAGAGGCTCTCCACTTTGTCCGAGCAACTCGAGGCGTCTTCCTCCTTCTTTGTGCTGTCGGCCTCCGTGGTCGCCTTCTCTTTCAGCTTCTTTTTGCACACTTTGACGATGTCGTACATGTGGAGATAACTGGCAGCTGCGAGCACGTCTTCAATGGGCAAGTCTTTGAACTGGAGCTTTCCTTCGTACATGAATTCAAGCAGGAGAGCGAAAGCTGGGGCTGTAACAATGTCGCTGTTCAGATGAACAATGTCCCTTTTGTCCAGCTGGTCCTTGTAAAAGAGGTGGAAATACATGCTGCATGAAGCCAGGACAGCTCTGTGCGCTCGGAACTGGGCATCTCCTACCAGAACAGTGCAATCACAAAGAAAACCCTGATGTCTCTGCTCACTCAGACACTGTAGCAAATGTCTACTGTGGTCAGGAAACTCCATGCTGTCTTCATAACCTAGAAGCAACAAGATTTTTAGAAATTAAATGTAGGTCAAAACCAGAGAACAGACAAATCCAAATGATTCCACTCTAAAAACCTGCTATTTGCATCCCCTTTGCCCCCACRCAAAGGTTGTTTCGCATGTGCTTGCAATGGCAACTCTTCCCCCGACCAAGCCCCTAAGTCACCCTGTCCTTTCAGGGGCAAACCGGCCGCGCTCACAGGCGCCCTGCAACACTGCTCATTCTTCCAAAGCACCGCTGTGGTCACCAAATCTGCTCAACAGCTTTTTTTTTTTTTTTTTTCAGGCAACTTCTTCCTC